TAAACCCATGTTACTGAAGGGTCAACTGTAATTTGAAATCTGGGGAGAGAAAGGTGCACTTAGGGAGAAACAAGACCTGAATCTTTGCTTGCTTAGGGCAAACACCATTGGAGACCACTAAAGCCAATAGGAATATTTCACAAAACATTTTAAATGAATTTCTGAAAGTGAATATGAGCTAATATGAAGATATAAAGTCCCCTCGGGCTACAGATATAAAGCCTTTGTACCCTCTTTCAGCACTGTCCTCCATGACCTTACCAAGCAACCACAAGGAAATCCAGAGAAAGCTTCCTTCAAGGTTTTTGCTGGAAAAAGTAAACAGCAGCCAAAGCCAAATGTTCTCTATTTCTTCTACTGACAAAAGCCTGTGGAGGAGGAAGAGTAACAAAACTGTCAATTTAGGGCACTGGATGAAATTCACTGCAGCTGGGGAAAGGGAACAGGAAAAAATCCCCAGACAACACTATCTTTAGAGGAGTGGAAAGAATATATGCCAGGCCTGCACAATTGCCAGAAGAGGAAGAGAAATGCTTTTGAAGCTTATCCCGCAAAAAAACTGTGTTCACAGTACAAATAAGAGAACATTATATCTACTATTCACACACCAGTTTGCGAAAATTTAAACTATATGATATGTAACAAGAAAAAATAACAGTAGATACAAGTGGACAAACTGTAGGAGACATGCTCTCTGGGGAACAAAGATTGAGAAAAATCCTCACACCCTAAATACCAGGTATCTCTCAAGAAATTTGAAGCTTTGGTGCACTAAAGGTAACCATAGTAACAATAAACTTCAAACCCAGTTTACTGGCTAGATTAATGTTAACCCTCACACTAAAGAACTAGAAAAAAAAATTAGTTCATCTCTAAGTGTAAAAACATTTATCTCCATATCTCTTGTCCTGTACATGTTCAACATTCCACATAAATTTATGAGGCATATGACAAGGCAAATACACACAGTCTCAAGAGACAAAGCAAGCATACTTATACATTTTAAGTTATAAGTTTTAAAATGTATATTTTAAGCCCTAGGACAATCACTAAAATTTTTTCAAGTATAAATGATAAGTCAATAGTGGAGATGAAGTGGAAACATTAAAATGCTCACTTAAACCATAGAAGGCAGTTTCTTCATAGTGTCATTGGTCTTTATATTTTGGTGTGTTTTTGCAGTGGCCAGTACCGGTTTTTCTTTTCCATATTTAGTGCTTCCTTCAGGAGCTCTTGTAAGACAGGCCTGGTGGTGACAAAATCTTTCAACATTTTCCTGTCTGGAAAGGATTTTATTTCTCTGCTTTTGATGCTTAGTTTGGCTGGATATGAGATTCTGTGTTGAAAATTCTTTAACAATGTTGAATATTGGCCCCCTCCTGGGTTCAAGGTGTTCTCGTGTCTCAGCCTCCCAAGTAGCTGGGATTACAGGCATGTACCACCATGCCTAGCTAACTTTTGTATTTTTAATAGACATGGGGTTTCACCATGTTGGCGCAAGTGGTCTTGAACTTTTGACCTCTGATAATCCACCCACCTTGGCCTCCCAAATTGCTGGGATTACAGGCATGAGCCACTGTGCCTGGCCCTTCTTTTTTTGTTCCATTTTTGTTACACATGTTATATCTATATGTACTACAAATCCAACAATACATTATTTAAATTAAATGATTATTACATCTTATATGTTTATTAAGGAAATGACAAAAATATACAGCAAGTATATATTTATAGAATCTGTAATATATTTTTGCTTCTCATTCTTGGTTTTCTTCATTGGTTGCTGTAAATTCAAATTACCAACTGGTATCTTTTCCTTGTTCCAATGTAACTTTACTCTCACCCACCTCCTTTGTGTTGTTATTGGGAAATATATATACAATTCCACAATACAATTGTATGCATATTGTTTTATACAATTGGTTTTTGAATGCATTAAAAGATGAATGGAGAATAAAGATGCAATTATGCCATTTTAATTATCTACCTAGATACCTTTATTGATACTCTGTTCTTTGTGTGGATTTAAATTACTTGCTGATGTCACTTTCTTTCAGCCTGAGGAACTTTCTTTAGTATTTTTTGTAAGATAGCTTTGTTATTAACAAACTCTCAGTTTTTGTTCATCTGGAAATATCGTTATTTCCTGTTTATTTTTGAAAGACAGTTTTGCTTAACATATGACTCTTGCTTGACAGATTTTTTTCTTCTGCTATTTTGAATATGTCATTTCACATTCTACTGCCTTTCAGCCTCCATTGTTTCTGAAAGTTAGCTGTTAATAGGGTTGCTATGTACACAAGGAGTCATTTTTCTCTTGCTGCTTTCAAGGTTTTTCTTTTTCTTTTCTTTCTTTTTTTTTTAACCTTGTTTACTGGGATGTGTCTGGATACAGATTTCTTTATCCTATTTGGAGTTTATTGAACTTCTGAAAGCATAGATAATATTTTCATCAAATTTACGCAAGTTTTCAACCAGTATTTTAAAAGAAATTTTGGTATTCCTTTCTTTCCTTTTCTTCTGTTATTTTGATTATGTATATTCTTGTGATTAAAGGTATTCCACATTTCTTTGAGATTGTTCATATTCTGTCATTCTTTTTTTCTGGTTTTTATTTTCTGTACTGTTGCAATAATCTCCTTCTTGTTTTTCCAGCATCAGTCTATTACACCCTCAAAATTGCTCTATTAAATGAAGTCACATTAATATTTTTGAAACACTGCTTTACACTCATCATTCCCTAACTTGAAAAATTCTCATAACTCTCCATTGTCTACATTGCAAATAAGTTGATTTGCTTATTTGTACCTCATTAACAGTGTTTTCACAATTTCCCTTCATGAACCTTTTAATCTAGTCAAATTGGCCTGTCAATGAAACCAGTTTTAATCTTAACTTCTACAGCACTTTATGCTTATCACTCATTTCATTATAATAACTCTTATTGTCATTTTTACTAAATTTTTTAATATACTGAATTTTAAGCCTCCAGAATTTAGTTTTTTAATATCGTAACACTTGGCACAGTGCTCTGAATGTTAGGAATAGTAAGAAATGTAATTGTTGATAATCTTCTTACACAAAACATGACATTTAATTATGTTTCAATTACTGACAGTCAATACATAAAATCAAAGCACAGAAATCCTCTCCCTTGAATAAACTGTTAGAGATGGAAATTGTTGGAAAATGTTAGCTAAACAAGTAATTATATAATTATTCTTTTACACTGAAATCAATTGATGACTCATGTGTATTGAGTTATATGGCTTAATATATACAAATGACTGCATGGATACCGTTTGTTCAATTAATGGTTTGATAATTTAGTGAAGTGCTAGATAGAAAAGACATATAAACTAAGGGAGTGAATCTCTTCCCTGGCTGTGTCACTTTTTAATTTCTCTCTATTGCCATATCATTATCAAAGTCAGTAATCTCCAGCCATCTATTTCTCAGTCTTAACACTATTTTTCAGACAAGTCTCTGAGCAAAAGTCTTCTCTTTGTAAGGCATCATGATCTACATATAATGTCAGCAATTCTATTTTACATATGGCACAGATAGGTATTTTTTTGTACAATGTGAATGATTGTGGCCAATTTTATGTTATTTGTTTCTTCTTTAGTCAACATAGGGTAAAATAAAGAAAAACCAATTTCAGAAAGCATGCCAAGCAGCAGATGTTGATTTGTTGTTTGTTAATTCCTTGCCCTTTAAAAAAGTTGAATAAAACTATCTAGATATCCTATTTGGATTTGCTTATGTCATTCTGAAGCTAATCTGAAAATTTAAACCTATGTGCATGTAAGCTTCTCTCTACATAATAGACATGTGACTATAAACAACTATGGCAATACATCAGTAAATAAGGGTACTCACCGAAAAGTAAAAAGAAACAGCATTTCATTATAGAACACATGCCAATTTAATCAAAATGAGACATAAACTGAAAGCATAACTAGAAAGATAAGCATGCTATATGCAGAAGTAGCTTAACTTCTATTTCCTTCTCTTTTTGATCCTTGGAGTCTAAACAGTACAACTTGTCCCTTATAAGAAATTATCATTTTTGTTTTATGTAAACTAAATACATCATTAAAATGATTTTTTAAAATCACGAAATACAGTATCTACGTTCAATGTCTAATGGAAGTTTTAAAAAATGTATTTGATGGAAATAGAATGATTGTGATAGTTCATTATATGCTTTAAATAGCAAGTATTTCTCTGTATGAAAGGGGTTTACATGTAGATAAAATATTGATTCTAGTATGGATTGTCATCATTGTCTTAGTCATAAACATAGAGGTTTATTTGGCTTGTGATTCTGGAGGTTGGAAAATCCAAGATTGAGGGGCAACATCTGATGAAGGACTTCTTACTGTGTTATAACAAGGTGGAAGATATCACATGTTGAGATATTTGCAAGAGAGGGAAGGGGGCTCAGCTAATCCTTTAATCAGAAACCCACTGCCATAATAACTAACCCATTCTCATAATAACTGTCTTAATTCATACATGAGAGCAAAGCCCCCATGACCTAATCACCTCTTAAACATCCTATTCTTAACAGCGCTGCATTGGGGATTAAGTTTCCAACACATGCGTTTTGGAGAACACATTCAAACCGTAGCAATAGTAATACATTTCATTATATAGATAAGTATGTATGTGTGTGTCTTCAATTCTAAACTTACTTTGTCTTCAAACTTACATAATTAAAATAACTCCACATGAAATTAGATTTATGTGAGAAGAATATAAAGTAATAAAAGTTGTATAATTTTGCAGATAATTATATAGCAGAAAATTATTGCAACTCTAAAGATTATTTACAAATTCAACAAAAATATTAGGATTCATAGACATGAGTTTATCCTATTATGACAAAAACTTACTTACATTATTATTCCTCTATCTTTAAATTCCTTCAAATTTTTTAATTCTTACAGATGAATATAAATTAGATTTAATTAAATCTTGTGTTTTTCCTTTAGGAAAAAGTCAGAGAGAAGGAAGAAAATCTGAATCTTGTAAACCAATTCTTAAAGTAGAATACAAGACCTGCAAAAACAGGTATGCATTTTTAATTTAGGGAAAGAGGGATATGAAGCACAGACAAAAAGGGCAGATGATCTTTAATGTTAATGTATTATTTACAGTTTTACATAGTTATAAGTGGATCCTCTACATTAACAATAACTGACTTTTTGTTGTCTAATAGACATATCTCTGATGATTATTATGGATATTGCAAATTACAAGTGTTAATTACTTGAGAATTCTTTTAAGCATCTAAATAAGTACTATACACACTAATGTTAATAGTAAAGGACTTTGGCCATGCATATTAAAAGTAGCAGGATTTATTAAGCAGAAGGAATATGTCCATTGATATTGCATGTGAAAGAACTAAATATGTAACCAAGTCTCTGCGCATTAAGATCTTACATTCTGAAGTTAGAAGATTATCGTTTGTTGGAAAGAGAAAGTTATGTATATTAATGTAATAAAAAGTACTGAATTTTGGTATTAGAAAATTAAGAAAAAATATGAAGTAAAATATTATCTTATATTTAAAGTATGTTACATTGATTCCTTTACCGTTATGTAATGCCTTTTGTCTTTTTTGATCTTTGTTGATTTAAATCTGTTTTATAAGAGATTAGTCTTGCAACACCTGCTTTTTGGCTTTCCATTTGCTTGGTAAATTTTCCTTCATTTTTTATTTTGCACCTATGTGTGTCTTTGCTATTTAGATGGGTCTCCTGAATACAGCACATTGATGGGTCTTGACCCTTTATACAGTTTACCAGTCTGTGTCTATTCATTGGGGCATTGAGCTCTTTTATATTTAAGGTTAATATTGTTATGTGTGAATTTGATCCTGTCATTATAATGCTAGCTGATTATTTTGCCCATTAGTTGATGCAGTTTCTTCATAGTGTTGACAATCTTTACAAGTTGGTATGTTTTTGCAGTGGCTAATACTGGTTTTTTCTTTCTATATTTAGTGCTTCCTTCAGGAGCTCATGTAAGGCAGGTTTGGTGATACAAAATCTCTCAGCATTTGCTTGTTTGTAAAGGATTTTATTTTTTATTCACTTATGAAGCTTAGGCTGGTTGTAAAATTCTGGGTTGAAAATTCTTTTCTTGAGGAGGGCTCCAAGATGGCTGATTAGGAGCAGCTCTGGATTTCAGCTCCCAGTGAGAGCACAGAGGGTGAGTGGATGCCACATTTCCAGAAGGATTTTTATTGCCCACAGACCAGGAGATTCCTGGGTGGAGGATCACCACAAGTTGCCAGTGCAGCTGTTTTGGCCAGTGTGGCAGGTCTCCACTCAAAATACTCACATGGGTCCCGGCACCATTTCAGCTGGTGTCTAGAGGGCCTGGGAGACAGAGTCACCCATTCAACTGATAAAAAAGGGACTAAAACTGGGAGCCAGGCCAGGAGATTCAGGGGTGTAAAAGTGCCACGAATATCCAGCATGGCTGTTTCAGCTGGCACAGTGGGTCACCACATGGGAAATCACACAGAACTGGGCAGGCACCTTTTCAACAGATGACTGGAATGCCTGGGAGGCAGAGTTGCCCATTCAACTAATAAAAAGGGGACTGAAACAGGGAGCCAGCCCAGGAGATTCCTGGGCGGAAAAGCGCCACAAGTCCTGAGTGTGGCTCTTTCATCCGCATAAAATCTCACACAAATCTGGGCATCTTTTGAACTGGTGGCTGGAACGCCTGTGAGACAGAGTCACACATTCAACTGAAAAAAAAAAAAGGGGGGGGGATCTGAGGCAGGGAGCCAGGTGATCAGGCTTGGTTGGTCCCACACCCACAAAGACCAGCAATCTGAAACACTCTGTATCGAGAGTTTCACAGCAAGCAGAGCTGAACATGGGACAGTCCAGCTCTGAGGGAGAGAGACATCTGCCATTACTGAGGCAGTCCACCACTGCTGAGGCGGCCCGCCATTGCTGAGGCAGTCTGCCATTACAGAGAGAATCCACCATGACAGAAGTGGGCTGCCACTGCCAAGGCAGTTCTGACTATAGCCCTATAAACAGGACTGCAGGGAAGTTCACATGGCAGCTGGGCGGAGCCCACAGCAGCTCAGCAAAGACTCTGCTGGCAGAAGTGACTAGGCTGCCTCCTCACTGGGCAGGGCAACCCTGAAAAGCAGCAACACAACAGAAGCTTATAAATAAAGCCCTACCTTCCCAGGACAGAGCACCTGGGGAAAAAAAGGTGGTTATAAGTTCTGCTACAGCAGACTTAAACATACCTGCCCAGCAGCTCTGAATGGAACAATGGAGCTCACAGCTCAGCACTTGAGCTCCTATAAAAAACAGACTGTCTCCTCAAGCAGCTCCCTGACCCCATATAACCAAAGAGTCACTTCATAAAGGAGAGCTCAGACTGACATCTGGTGGGTATCCTTCTGGGACAAAGCTAGCAGGAAAAGAAACTAGAAGCACCCCTTTCTGTTCTGCAGCCACTGCAGGTGATCCCCAGGCAAGCAGGGCCTGGAGTGGACCTCCAGCAGTGCTACAGCAGAGGGGCCTGAATGTTAGAAGGAAAACTGAAAAACAGAAAGAAATAACTTCATCATCAACAAACTAGATGTCCACTCAGAGACCCCATCTGAAAGTCACCAACCACAAAGACCACAGGTAAATAAATCCACAAAGATGGGAAGAAACCAGCGTGAAAAGTATGAAAACACCCAAAACCAGAATGCATCTCCTCCTATAAGGGATCACAACTCCGCACCAGCAAGGGAACAAGGCTGGATAGAGAGTGAGTCTGATTAATTGACAGAAACAGCCTTCAGAAGGTGGGTAATAAGAAACTTCTCTGAGCTAAAAGAACATGTTCTAACCCAATGCAAAGAAACTAAGAATCTTGAAAAAGGTTTGATGAAATGCTAACAAGAATAAACAGAGAGGAATATAAATGAATTGATGGAGCTGAAAAACAGAACATGGGAACTTTATGAAGCATGCACAAATTTCAATAGCTGAATCGACCAAGCAGAAGAAAAGGTATCAGAGGTCGAAAATCAACTCAATGAAATAAAATGGGAAGGCAAGATTAGAGAGAAAAGAGTAAAAAGAAATGAACAAAGCCTCCAAGAAATATGGGACTGTGTGAAAAGACCTAATCTATGTTTGATAGGGGTACCTGAATGTGATGGAGAGAATGAATCCAAGCTGGAAAATACTCTTCAGGATATTATCCAGGAAAACTTCCCCAACCTAGCAAGGCAGGCCAATATTTAGTCCAGGAAATACAGAGAACATGACAAAGCTACTCCTCAAGAAGAGCAACCCCAAGGCATATAATCTTCAAATTCACTAGGGTTTAAATGAAGGAGAAAATGCTAAGGGCAGCCAGAGAGAAAGGTTGGGTCACCCACAAAGGAAAGCCCATCAGACTAACAGTGGATCTCTCAGCAGAAACCCGACAAGACAGAAGAGAGTGGGGGCCAATATTCAACATCCTTAAAGAAAAGAACTTTCAACCTAGAATTTCATATCCACCCAAACTAAGTTTCATAAGTGAAGGAGAAATAAAATCCTTTATGAACAAGCAATTACTCAGAGACTTCATCACCACCAGACCTGCTTTACAAGAGCTCCTGAAAGAAGGACCAAACATAAGAAGGAATAACCAGTACCAGCCACTCCAAAAACATACCAAATGGTAAAGAGCATGGACACAATGAAGAGGCTGCATCAACTAACAGGCAAAACAACCAGCTAGCATCAAAATGACAGGATCAAATTTACAGATAACAATATTAACCCTTAATGTAAGTGGGCTAAATGCCCCAATCAAAAGACACAGACTGGCAAATTGGACAAAAAGCTAAAACCCATCAGTGTGCTGTATCCAGGAAACCCATCTCACATACACGGATAAATATAGGCTCAAAATAAAGGGATGGAAGATTTACCAAGGAAATGGAGAGCAAAAAAAAAGCAGGAGTTGCAATTCTCATCACTGATAAAATAGACTTTAAACCAACAAAGATCAAAAGAGACAAAGAAGAACATTACATAATGGTAAAAGGACCAATGCAACAAGAAGCGCTAATGATCCTAAACATATACACACCCAATACAGTAGCATCCAGATACATAAAGCAAGTCCTTAATAACTTACAAAGAGACTTAGACTCCCACACAATTAATAGTGGGAGACTTTAATACTCCACTGTCAATATTAGACAGATCAACAATACAGAAAATTAACAAGGATATCCAGGATTTGAACTCAGACCTGGACCAAGCAAACCTATTAGACATTGCAGAACTCTCCACACCAAATCCACAGAATATACATTTTTCTCAGCATGACATCACACCTACTCTAAAATTGACCACGTAATCGGAAGTAAATCACTCCTCAGCAAATGCAAAACAATGGAAATCATAACAAACAGTCTCTCAGACCACAGTGCAATCAAGTTAGAACTCAGAATTCAGAAACTAACTCAGAACCACACAACTTCATGGAATCTGAACAACTGGCTCTTGAAGGTTGACTGGATAAATAATGAAATGAAGGCAGATATAAAGATATTCGTCAAAAACAATGGAAATGAAGACACAACATACCAGAATCTTTGGGACACATTTAAAGCAGTGTCTAGAGGAAAATATATAGCACTAAGTGCCCACATGAGAAGCAAGGAAAGATCTAAAATCGACACCCTGTCATAAAAATGGAAAGAGCTAGAGGAGCAAGATCATAAAAACTCAAAAGCTAGACCATCCTGGTCAACAAGGTGAAACCCCGTCTCTACTAAAAATACAAAAATTCAGCTGGGCATGGTGGCGCGTGCCTGTAATCCCAGCTACTCAGGAGGCTGAGGCAGGAGAATTGCCTGAACCCAGGAGGTGGAGGTTGCGGTGAGCCGAGATTGCGCCATTGCACTCCAGCCTGGGCAACAAGAGCGAAACTCCGTCTCAAAAACAAAAACAAACAAACAAACAAAAAACTCTAAAGCTAGCAGAAAACAAGAAATAACTAAGATCAAAGCAGAACTGAAGGAGATAGAGACACAC